GGCGTGTTGGTCTGTCAGGGCAAGGAGGAAGAAGTGCGCAGGGTTTCCGTGAGGAGGAGGTGTCCGGTGTGCTCATGTACGGCCAGAAACGAGGGATAGTGAAGTAATGCATATCCGCGATATGGATTTGGGGTTGCGGCGTTGGTTTTGTGCTTAATACGAAAAGCTCTACACAGGAGTAAGTTAGCTATTTAAGTCTAGAGAGGTGAGTTGGGTTTGGATTAGTTTATTCAGGAGGAAGAGAGAAAGAAATCATTCCTCACACCTTTCAAAATAGCTTGGGAAGGCTGGCGTCAAAAAAAACCTGTACACTGGAAGGAAGGGCTGTATTTAAAACAAAACAATTAGTAAGGTCTGTGTAGAAGACAAAATTTATCTCCGTTGTGAAAATTTAAAAACAATACTGTTGTATTTTTCTCAGAATTCCAAAAGTTCAACCCAGTGTTTGGTTTTGATCACTGAGCACCTGGAAACATGGAACTCCATCAGAATTTCTCTCGACAGACCTAGAATTTATATCTGGAATTTATAATGGAATTGTTATTTTTGGACTGTGAAGAACACATGGTTTTTACTATTGAAAACCACTAGGGAATTATGTAACTTCCATATAGAGGGAATGTAGAAAGACTGTAGATAGCTTTTTTTATTATTATTATTTAATAAATCTGTTGTCTGTTTCTCAGGAGCACATGGGGTCTGTAATTGTTTCGTGTGTGGTAATGTTCTTGGTCTATGTTTTTGTTTCATTATCAGGGATATTTCACCAAAAAATGGCACTGAAGTGTTTTTCTCACATCAGATTTATGAAAAATACTCATTGGCTCCAAGCCTCTCTGAATTATGGCATTTATCAAACAGGTATATTCTGGTATTTTATGTTTCTGTGCTGTTTGTTGTCATCCTAGTAATACGCACCCTTACTGTTGGGGGGAAAGCTGTTTGTTATCTGGCATGCCAGGAGGTGTTACTGACACCTTGGTCCAGCAGTTGGTCTGTGCTGTACCTGTTGTGACACCTCAGAAAGCAGGAAGAGTCTAAATTGGGAACATGGGTCTTCTGTGGGATTGGGTGGTATGTGGGGGGCTTTAGAATGGGGTTTGGGTTATTTTTTGGTCGTGGTGCTTGTTGATTTTTTGCTGCTTCTTATGTACCAAAGAGGGGTGAAGTTTGACCCCCACTCTTAACTGAGTGTTAAGAGTGGTAAGGGTAAGGATCCTGTAACCCATGAACCAGTCCTAAGTCTTTTTAGAAATTAATGTTTTGCTGTCTGTCTGTGTCTTCTCACTTAGTAGTGGGCTGATAATAGTGTACATTGAAATCTTTTTACTTGTATCTTTTGGAATTAGCCAGCACTCTCAACGCTGTCTTAGGTACAGTGGAGATGCAATTAATTCCTGGAGTAATGAAGAAACTGTGTAGAGTGTTAGCTGAAGAATGGGAAATGGAATTATGTGAACACAGTAGATACAGGCAGTTTTAATGTCTTTCTGTTTTTCTGGAGTTGAAGTAGAGTTAGCATTTGTTTTACATAGAGAAAAGCATGGCTCATGCTGCTGGATTTCAAAAGTTGGAGGACTATTTAGGCTATTGGCTTTTCAAGAAGTCATTAATCTGTTAGAGATGTACAAGTGGTAAGTGTCTCATGGTGGATGAACCACCACAGAGAGTGTGGATGGAGACCAAGGTAGCTACTGCGCTCTAACTGGGGAGTTCAGTATGTGGAGGAATAATTTGTTCTGAAGGGGAATTACTGTATTTTTTGTATATGAACTGACACTTAAGAATGTGCATTTGAGGGGAATACCTGCTTACAACACATGACTCTGTGTCCCACATCTTTAGCTAGGGAAGGTTTTTCCGGTTCGTCTCTCTTGGAGCAACTTTCCTTGAACTGGCAGAGATGACCTCAGCCCACCCTCACAGCTTGCTGCTGGGTATGCTGGGTGTTGCTGTGGGACTCTTCCTTTAGATGATGTAGGAAAAGGGTTTCTGGAGTAGATGTGGCTGCACTCAAGAGCAGGATTGTGTTTAGTTGTCTGTGGTAGAAGTGGGTTTATAGCTAGCAGAGAGGCTGCAACCAGAAAAATTGACAAACTGATGGAACAGGGTTGTGTGGCCATACTCTAGAGGAAAAGAAATGGAACCTGTTGGGGCAAAATGTGAAAGTAAAAGCTGGAGGAAATTTGTCAATTTTTATATTGGGGTTTCTGAGAGAAACACACACTTCAGGAACTACGTATTGCCATAGAAGCTGTGAAGGCAGGTAGCTTATAAAATGAAGGGAAAATTTAAACTGTTGGCTCAAATGAAGTCTAATGCTGTAAATATGGACAGAAAAGCTCATTCAGATTATTTCAGTTTGCACCCTGATGAAGACTGTGACAGCACTGCATACTGAAATGATCTTGATGTGCTGCCATTTCATTCAGTGCTGTATATAGCCAATTTAAGCTGCTAGAATTTCTTGATGCTCCTACACTGGCATGTCTGAGTCAGCATCTTGTCGCTGCTGCAGCTTAATTAAATTTGCCAGTTTGTGCCATGAGGATGGACACATTCTTGTATTCAGAGAGACAGCTGTGAAGTGTTATTAAGAACTGTAGATGTGATACTGCTGGGTTTGAATGGCACTGGAGGTGTTTTCTACTGCTGAAATCGTATCTTAAAAATATGCTTTTTTCCACGATCAGCAGTTAATGTTCATTTTGTTAACCTTAAGTATTTTCTCTCTTAAGAACAGTCATTTTAAATAGAGTGGCACAAAGATGGCTTTCATATACTGGCATTTTATTAAGAACCAAATGTATGATGTTACTTCTTTGTTGTTAGGGCAGCTTCACCCCTTGCCTTGGCCCAGTATTATTTTTTTTGGCAGCTGATTTCAGCATTCTTTACAGTAGAAAATGAAACTCTTGAATCATGTACTCTTTTTAGAAATTTCTCCATTGACATTCAGAATTTCAGTGTTACAATGAAGCATTTTTAATTTACTTCTTTCACAGTGAAAGAAAGGCTTTTTCTAGTTAAGTCGTTCTCCTTTACTTTAACTTTCAGGCATAAGTGAGACCCTTCTGAACTGTTTCTGAACACCAGGCATCAGTGAATGGTGAAATGTGGAGACTCTGTATGTTTTCATTAATAATGGGTGTTTCTAGAACAACGAATGAGAGTTTCATATTTAGCTTCTCACCTCAATACTTTACAGACCAATGCATACCCCACTTTATAAAAAAAATTACTTACTTTTTTCCATCTTCCAAGCAGTGGCAAAACTGCTGTTGGTAGTAGGGGTTAGTCTGGTTGTCCAGGTGGATTTTCAGAGTAAGAAAATTCCCATGGCATAGACTAGGAACTGCAGTAGTACACTCTCACAGTGCATTTTGCTGGATTTGCAGTTTAGGCTTGCATGACTGCCTTTATTAATTGTAACAAATATGTTATTAGCAATATTAGCAAATATTTTCACATAGCAAATGTGAAAAGTGTACGTTCTTTTATTTACTACTTCTCTTTCAGAGAGGCGAAGAAAAATGTGGAGGCATTGGCAAACTCTTCAGAGAACAGGCAGACTTGTAGCACGCAAGCTGCAGATCCACTTGAGGCAGAGGCTAAAACCACAGCCAACGATCATCCTTTTCCAGAACCTAGGCTCCCCTATCCATTTACCTCTTGTTTGACTCAGAAGGAGCAGAAAACATACCTATATCTGATGACCAAGTACTCAAAAAACCCAAACCATTTTCAGGTTAATGCAGCAAGTCAGAGAGAATTACTCACGTATCTGGTAAGTGTGTAAATATGAACATCACAGAGAGAGTCATCCTTTTTTCTTTTGTTACAAAGAGTTAAAGAAAATACAGCAGAAACATCTTTAAATTCAATTTGTCATAATTTTTTTTAAATATAGTATTATGAACAGTAACAAAGGTTTAAAGTATTCAGGATAACATTTTTAATATAAATTGAAAGAGGTTTTGGTTAGTTCATTGAAGGGGGGTGGATTTTTATATATGTATATGTTTTTTTAGTAGTAGTCTAAGCAGCTGATGATAAGTGTAGATCTTTGATAGCTGATCAGTCACCCACCTCCTTAAAAAAACCCTTTTTTATGAGAAAGAAGTTAGGATTTGACTTTACTGTGAGTTTAGCATTTCATAATGGCATGGAGCACCCTTATGTAATGCTAGGAGATGGATACATTTTGATGTGATCTTTGATAGCACCCTGTAACAGGAACTCTCTTCATTAGCATGTGAGGGGACCTATGCAATGACCTTCTACACTTGCCACATTAATGCTTCTGGGAGTGGAAAGGCACAAGGTTGCACTTGCTGTTTAGTCTCAGCAAGTAGTGAAAGGCTGTGTCTCAGGTTGGTAGGAAGCATCATTTTAGTTGAATCCTGTATAACGTTATTAATCAGCAAATGTTTTTAAGCCGATGCATTTGGTTTCCTGTGCTTCCTTGTTAATGCTAATTACTTTATTTTACACTGTGACAATGGGAATGTCTTTCTTGGGCAGATCAGCACCTACTGTGGTGTTAGTTAAAATGAGTTGCTTATGAAGTCAGAGCTCAAATTTCTTTGTGGCTTTATCATGTAAACTTTCTCCAACAATGTTTTGTAACCTTTCTTTTTATAAACCACCAGTGTATGATCAAAAGCAGCTTGCTGTTTGCTGGGGTCCTGTTTTGTTGGTTTGGAATTTTATTTAAGGAAATGGGCCTTACAAACTTTTGGGGTTTTGTTACTTCAGTGAAATTCTGAACATATTCAAAGACTTGCCAAATTGAGCAGTGAGTGGAATCTGTGCCCTCCCTCCTACCATCACCTACCATCCCTCCTACCATCCTACCTCTCTGGAAGTTCTGCTGGTTACATACCTAGCCTACAGGATTCCCTTCTGTCTTAAATAGGTATTTTCCTTCTTCCCCCAGCAAATGAAAGAAGTAGTAAGCAGTGAAATTGCAGAATTTATGAAATTTGCCCAAAACGCTGCAAAAAGCTGCGCTCAAGATTATGATACCATCTCTGAAGATGCACTACGTTATACTGAGGTAAGTACAAGTACTGTGTTTAATTGCTCCTCTTCTTAAGTAATCATTTTGGAATTGTGATTAAGATACATAGGCACTGCTCATGGGATCTGATGTTCCCTGAACTTCTGCTGATGCCATGTTGGGATGAGACATGAGAAGTCACCATTTCCCTGGTGCTGTGCAAGATGGCTTGGCCCACGATATAAGTGAGATCTCTGAATACAATACTAACAAAGATTTAGTCATCAGTTAAGTAAATGACATCTTTACGTTTGGGAAGGGAGAAATTGTATCTTAAGTGTGCATTTACATTAACGAGCTGCTCCTAAATGTACACTGCTGGACAGAACGTTAAGCTTTCCTTCACAGTAGCATGTTACAAAGTCACTTTAATAAGTGGTTACTCAGGCTTTAATTATAATCTACTTCTACGATCTTATGCTGTGATGAATATCTGCTTTGATGATTCTATAATCAAACATGAATGCAATTTCATATATCGTTCTTGGTTTAATTGCACATTTTGGGAAAGAATTCGAGGATACTTTCCTATCAGTGGGTTCACTTGCTCTTGCTTCTTTCCCTCATAGTCTCTTGTCTTAGTTGAAACAGCCAACTTGCATACTTTTGTTAAAATTCAGTCTTTAGTAGTAAGTGCTGCATCACTTTCTTTTACAGAATAAAACAAAAATAAATGTGTTCACTAGAGAGTAGAGCATTTAGTTAAATTCAGAAGGACTGTTTCCATTTCACCATAACACTTTGTTATGTGCTTATTCGTGCACAAGATATATTTGTTGTTAACATACAGTCCTTATGTGTGAACGACAAAAATCTTGCTTTTTTCCTTAAAAATTGGGTTTAGCTTTGTAATTTTATATCTTGTGTCTATTTTTCAAAGTGATTTTGTCATCTGGTCGCAAAATGTGTCTCTAAAGTTGAAGTTGATCTCCTGAGTTAAAACTTAAAGAGGCATATATTTAGCTTTAGGCAATACTTGCAGAAATAACTCATTCTAGTTACCAAATAAAACCTAAGTGTTTTAAATACATAATTAAGACAGCAGAAAAGATTGTCTTAGGATCTAAAGTTGACATGAAATGAAGTTTCAACATATATATGTCTTTACCTTTGTGACTTTTACCTAGGCCTAATGTAAACTAGGTAGTAACACAAAAAATCCTGGTTCCTCTAAAAGCCAGGATAAATAAACTGAAAAGAAAATAATTACCTGGTTTAGCACAGTGCTAAATGTTTTCTTGGTTTCTTTTTTATAATGGGTCTGAGCCTGTGTCCATATATTGCTAGACTCGCGTATGAAGGGTTGAGGAGAATTTAGAATATGTTTCAGTTTTGATACCAGTGATTGTCAAATTATTATTGAGTTCTAGTGGTGTTTAACTTTTATATCCTGTCTCTAACTAGAAGAGTTGTTCAAGTCTGTTATGAGTAATGTGATAAATGCATCTGTATTCTCTATGGAAAGTGTATGCAAATGCAACCTGCAATTGCAGAAGGACTTTTAAATGGAATTCTCATGAAAAATACAACTGCATAAACTTTTTTCTTTTTATGTTAGGAATTAATGCGTGCTTGTATTGGACACGTGCAAATGCATCCTGAGTTTTACACGCTCCAGGAGATCATGAGTATCATGGGAGGAAAGTTTCATACTCAGTTGACATTTAGGCTGGAAAAAAATCTTCTTGTGATGGTAATATCATGGGTGGATGTATTGGTTTGATGTTATTTTCAAATAAGTAGAATTACACCTGGATTGTGTAACACAAGTATTCAGGTCTTTTACAAGTATTTGGTGCTTGAGTTAGGAGTTATATTTTATAGTTGTTAATGAAAATGTTAATGAAATTATTTTCATAGAATCATAGAATAGTTTGGGTTGGAAGGGACCTTCAAGAGTCATCTAGTCCAACCCTCCTGCAGTGAACAGGGACATCTTTAACTGGATCAGGTTGGCCAGAACCACATCCAACCTGGCCTTGAATGTCTCCAGGGATGGTGCAGCCACCACCTCTCTGGGCAAACTGTGCCAGTATTTTGCCACCCTTATTGTGAGGAATTTTTTTTCCTCACATCCAGCCTCACAACTTTTTTATTCTAAAACCATCACCCCTTATCTTACCTTGACAGGCTCTGCTAAAAAGTTTTTCCCCATCTTTCTTACAGGCCCCCATTTTGGTAGTAAGGCTGTTAACACCCTTCACTGTATGTTTGCAATAAAAAGATTACATTAGTAGTGGGGGGATTATATAACATTAACTTTATAATGCACCTGCATAAATTCTTAATATTTTTCATTTTAAGAAGTGCAGTGCTGGGTCAGCATGATTTCAGTTAAAGCTGCTTTCTGATACTGCTTGATTTCTTCAAGGGAACGGCAAGACGTGGTAAAACAGATTTCCCTGCCATGCCTGTTCAACTGCCCACAGATTATAAAACTGTTACAGCCATTATAACTCCAGAAAAGAAGGCTTCTATTATGCACAATGTAAGTAACCTTTTTATTGTCATTTTAAAGGCATATTTTGTAGAGAAGAGGAGTTTGGTCCTTTTTATGTGGCAGCATTAAGTTTCTTCAGGTTTTTTGGTTGTTTTTTTCCCACATATTGTAGCATAGGCATATGTAGTGTATCAGTATTTGTTTAGGTTTTCATTTATAGTAATCACAGTGCCCTCTTCAAAAGTTGGGCTGTAACCTTTTGGACCCTCATGAAAGGATTCCTCAGTTCCCCCAATGAAACATTACAGGGGTCCTTAAATTGGAACACAGTTGGAACACGAGATAACTGTTTATTACAGTGTTGTTCCCCTTAAACTTTGCCTTGCAATTTCTAAGCTGGCTTCTGTGTGTATTTGAGTGTGTATACACACATATGAATGCATGGAGGTGTGAAGGTTTCTGATATAAGAAGTCCTGAGGGTAAGAAGTAATACTTCAGACTGTCAAGTTTTCTGAAAAGGTGATTAGGTTAGGTTACCTTGGGAATTTCTTTTGCTAAACAGCATAAACTCCATTTCTGAGTTGAACAGTTTTTATATTCCATTCCACCTTGTGTACTCTTCCACAGAGAAAATCAATGAGGTTTTCATTCTGTAGAACTTGGTTTTGTGTGACTGTTTATTCCAGATAATTTGTTTCCACTATTTTATGGAGTTCACATATCAAACCCCAAACTTTCAACAGAGCCACTGTGATTGCAAAGATACTTTTGCTCAAGAAAGTAGCAGAGGTGACACAGGAGTGATATGTGCCTAAAGAGATGTTATAGCTATAAAAAGAGAGTATTTCTGATGATGTGTCAGGTGGCAGAAAAAAGAACATAGCTAGATTTTTCTTATTTCTCTCTGTCGTGGTTTAAGCCCAGACGGTAACTCGGAACCACACAGCCGCTCGCTCACTCCCCCACTTCTTCCTCCCCGCACTCCCAGAGGGATGGGGAGGAGAATCAAAAGAATATAACTCCCACAGGTTGAGATAAGAGCAGTTCAGTAACTAAGGTGTAATACAAACCACTACTGCTACCACCAGTAATAATGATGATAAGGGAAATAACAAGGGGAGAGGATATAATTGCTCACCACCCACCAACTGATACCCAGCCCGACCCGAGCAGCGATCTGGGCCTTCCGGGTAACTCCCCCCAGTTTCTATACTGGGCATGACGTGCTGTGGTATGGAATAGCCCTTTGGCCAGCTTGGGTCAGGTGTCCTGTCTCTGCTTCCTCCCGGCTTCCTCTCCTCCCTGGCAGAGCATGAGACTGAGAAAATCCTTGGTCGGAGTAAACATTACTTAGCAACAACTAAAACCATCGGTGTTATCAGCGTTGTTCCCAGACTGAAAGTCAAAAAACACAGCACTGCACCAGCTACTAAGAAGGAGAAAAAAATGACTGCTGTAGCTGAACCCAGGACACTGTCATGGTCCTCAGTGCACCTGTTACCTTCTTGACATTCTTCTCCCATCTTGCGAACACTCCATGCCTCCTCACTTCATGGAAACTTCTACTCATAATATTCAACATCTTTATCATTTCAGTTCTGAATTTGTAATCTTTATGGGTTTGTATTTGTTCTAAGAGCCCTTATATATCTGTAACGAAACAACTGTGCAGTTTTAACTATAGTGTTAGATGTCTTTTATTGTGATGCTACTTGTGAGAAGATGTGTAATACATGTGTGATTGAAGCTGGGGTTTGTTTTCGTTCCGCAATGCACTCTCATCTTTCACGATCATTTCAAATCCTATTGAACCTAATAATTCAAAGTAATAGGAATGAACTGAAAGATACGAGTTTAGAAGACATATTTTCTCATGCTGCAAGGTGGATGCATAAGGTTCAGCCAAAAACCTTCCAGGGAATTCTTTGCTTTTTCATTTGTTTCTGAAGCCTGGCACTGTGTTGGTGTTTGGGGGGGGGGGGGGTGTGTGTTTTTTGGGTGTTTAATCCATGTTTGTTTGGGCTTAGGAATTTTCTTATGTATTTATATTTTTGTGGTTTTATTAAAAACTTTAAAATTGTAACTTTTTTCTGTTTAGGATATTAGTTCAGATTCAAACGCAGAAAAACTTGCTTTGAAATACTGTCCTCAAGTTGTTTTAAGTAATCAGTCGTTATTTACTTTACTCAATAATCATGGACTAAACTACAAGGAACAATGGGAAATTCCAGTTTGCATTAAAAGGATCCCTGTTGCAGGTATAGTATGTTTTTGTTATAAAAATTATGATTTTGTCCTGTAAGACCTTTATATATATTCTCTTAATCCTTTTCAAACAGACTGAAGAGCAGGAAACTAGAAAATCCAGTAAAACCAACTGGGTTGGGGAGGTATGGGAAGGTAGAAAGTAGGCCTGTTTAGTTCATGCAGTAATAGAATAGTTTAATTTTGGTTTTATTTAGAAAAGCAAGAAGCTGAGGATAATGAAAATGAGAATTGTAATTACAAGCCCAGATGTTTTACCTTTTCTGAAGCAGCAGCACTCTAGAATGCAGCTGTAAGAAAATAGTTTCAAGTACCTCCGTGTTTTTAATTTAAGGAGTTAAACAAAGTAATACAGTTTGAGTTATTTAGTTAACATATCTTTAAGGACAACAATCTGAACTAAATGATTTTCAGCTGGTTTCTGGTAAGGAGTCAGAGACCTCTGTGTTGTAAAGAAAAATGTTTAATCAAAGTTATCATAAAAAAAAACCATTTTAAAAAAACCCTTGGTATAGCTTGTCCTTTGCTGAGGAAGGCTGATAACAAGGTAATTTCATAGTTTTCTACACCCTGTCACTGAGGATAGCAACAACCTCTGGAGACATCACCTTTAACATTGAATTCGAACATACAGCTATTTTCCATTTAGTGAGGAAAAAAAATCAGTTAAATATCTTCTTGCTTTTCAAGAAGCAAGCTCTGCTCCTTGGAAAGAATACAACTGCATGAAGCTGTGATCAAGTGAACTGGTTTCAGTAAGCTAAAAAAGAGAAATTCTGAGGTTTTATGGAAAAACAAAGAGCAGACATTTTCTGTTATTGAAAGGACCTAATTACATTCTAGAATAATGAATAAATAGTGAATGTCCAGGGAGATTGCTTCTCCTAATTGCAGCAGGAAATGTTGTGAATAAGCTGGTTAACTCATCCGAATGCTACACTTTAGTTGTCAGATACTCCATCAGAAATCTGAATATAGATTTCCTTTCATTACCCCCTTTTTCTTTATTACATCCAGTAGGGGTTTTTCGTTATGAATATTTATAATGGCTGTTGTCTTGGAATGTCCATGTTGCGTGCATTTCGCACGATTTGTGTAATAGAACTAGTAAATACACTGTCGGGTATCTGCAAATCTTAAAAGTTTTGCACTTTTCTAAATGAAATTACTTTCTCTGTACAGATATGCTCTATCAACTTTACAGTTTTTAACTTCATTTTTAGATCCAAAGTTAACACCTAAAGGGCATTCAGAATATGTTAATAACATATAGCATTTCTTGAAGGGCTTCTCCTTTTCTTCCTCTTCCACTTTCCCTGTAACTCACCTCTTGCATTGATTTTATCTTGCTGCATCCACAGATTATTTATTTTCTAAAGCAGTGATACTATGTTCATATATGCCTTTGCTTTCTGTGTAACACTGGGCAGGGTATCATTTGTGGATGAATGTATGGATGGTTCAAATGTAAATGTGTTAAGGACTGAACAAAAGAGTGGGGCAGCAGAGCCTGGACATAGCTAATGCTTAGAACAGCTATAAAACATGACAGTCACTTTTGGGCAATGGGACCTAAATAGATAAGTAAAATTGAGGTTCATCAAAGGAAGAAAAAAGTCTTTTTGGAGAACAGAATACATCTGATGATACGATGCAGTATAAGGAATGATGAATCCTAAATTCTCATTTTATAAATTCCCTATTTAGAACTGCATTTAAAATATGATTGACTGTTAATGTGCTGTGTACTGCTGCTGCAGGATCCTAATAATTCACACTGTCCCTGGACATGATTTTAATTTCTGTTGTTAATGAACAAGAGGACAGTTTTTCATTTCTTCCACGGTGCATGTGGAATGGATTTGACCATAATTGAAAGGTTGTTTTTTTTTTTTTTACTTAAACTTTACACCAGTCTTTTTTCCTTTCATGTAATATGTGCTTCATCTCTTCCTGTTCTTGAAAAGGTAGCAAACCAGCTAAAGTGGTTTATGTTGATTCACCTCTACTGAGAAAAGAAATGACAGTAAGAGAGAGGAACCAAATCTTCCATGAAATTCCTATGGACTTTCTAGCAACTAAAAAATCTTATGTTTCAATTTCTGATATATCGATGGACAAACCAGCTGAGGACAGTCTGTTCCAGTGGGACGTATGTAGCTTCACCTCTTGTCAAAACCAAACAAAACCAAAAGCCTGTGTTAAAATTCCTAAGTTACTTGTTCTGTGATAGTGAAGGAAACTTTAGGTTTCCTGTTAGCAGTTTTTCTATCGCTGAGTTACAGATCCTGTTTTAAAATGTCTGTTTAATTCCTTTAAATGCTTCTATTACATCAGCATCTCAGCTTTAATGGTCTTTTCATTAGAATGTGTTTTGATCAGTCATTTAGGTGGGAAAAGTTCTATGATCTTTATTTCTCTTTAGAAAGGCCTTTCAGCTCCTGGGGTTCCAGATATTCCACGTTAAATTTAGGATTATTTTTTTTTCCCCCCAAGGACTGCTTCTCTTCTCTCTCCCAACAGTCAAAATATGGATAGTAGAACATTTTTCATGTTTTCAATTTGACAGTGTCTCATTTGTAATTAACACATTCTATTTCTTGTTTCTTTGTTTGTTGAGGGTTTTTTTAATATTATTACTTTTCCCTCCCTGTGTTAAGATGTCTTCTGATACCTACCAGTACAGGAAGATTCCTCTTCCAGATGACACAGGGATGGACTTTGATGGTGATGTTACAGAACTGGAAACTTTCGGAGCAACAGTTAAGCTCTCAAGAACTTCTAAAATGGAAAGTAGTTTTCCTACAGTTAGTAACACTGCGAAAGTTTCTGAGCAAGGAGTTTCAGCATGTGCCAGCACACAGCTCCCATCATTAGATGGCATTCTATGCTTGGGCCCTGAAGAAAATTCATCTCGTCAAAGGTTTAATTCAGAGGAGGTAGGACTGAACAAAGCACAGCATGTTACGACCAAACATGTATTGGACAATGAAACAAAACTGAATACTCTAGCTGATGCTGTTAGTTACAAGAAAGAGTCTGATGCTGCACAAAAAAACGAGACTTACACTTCCTTGTGCAGTAGTGACACAGATGAAGAGTGTCTGATAATTGATACAGAACGTGGAAACACTGATTGTTGCAGAACAACTTTACCAGACACTGTTTCTCATACCTCAGCAGAGGCTGCCAAATCACCCTCCCCCACCCAGGTTCCATTAGGAAACATGACTGATTGCTCAGATACCACAGATCAGGGAAAAAGTGCCTCCAGAAAGGCTACAAGAAAGTTCTCCAAAGAATTTGATCCTGTTGGACAGATCTTGAAAATGCAAACTGAACTTCTCAAGTCGCCTTCCAAAAAAGCTCATGAACAACCAGTGGTGAGCTGTGATAATTCTAATGCTGCGCCAGCCCATATGCCTCAATCTCCAAAACCACTGGTGACCTCCAGCACAGAAACTGTACCAGCCCCTGCCTCAAACCCCAGCAGCTCATCTAGAAGTACCTGGACTTGGCTTTTTCAGGGACTGCCAAAGAGTAAGTAAGTGTGTTCATTGTGTAAGAAGTAAAATCTCAAATTTTTGGTAAAAACAGAAAAACATTGTAACTCCATCATCTGAAGAACATCCTGCTAGTACCTCTCTTGCATTTATTTAGAGATGTGACATAATTGCTTGGGGTATTTAAGTTGTTTTACATAACATAAATTTTTATGTAAGGAAACAAAATCATTGATAGTGAAATGAGTTACTTTTCCTCAGAAATTCAAATATTTGAGTAGTCTGGTCTGAAAAAAGTTTCTTGTCAGTCAGCAATGGAATTATTTTACGTTTTCTGTAAAAGAATAGTTTAATCAAATTCTGCAATTAAAACTTGAAAGAAAGCTTGAAGTTTGGGTGTCTTAAGTTCTGAGATGCTTAATTCAATTGCTGTTTCTTAGCTCCTAGCTGTCTATTCCAGAAGACACATGAGGACTTACTTACTTCAAACCACCTCACCAAGTTGTCAGGGATTTAGCTGGAAATTGAACCTATGCTACACCCAGACTTCAGCCAAGAACTAGAAGTCTTGTGGATCCTAGGTTCCATGAACTGTGAGGTTTTTTCTCTCATGCCTGAGCTGCTTCTGAGCTCTGTACAACTGGAGTTAGAAGCACTTTATTGTGGCAGGTGAATTGACAGCAAACCAGGCAAGTTGCATCAGGAGATAAACTCTTTCTCAAATACTTAATTCCAGTGAATCAGTGTTTTTGATGGAAAGATGTGTTTTGCTGGTATTTTATGACTAGCTGTGCATTTGATCACATAGGAATTAGTGTTAATTAATTACTTGATCTGTAATGGAAACAGTTAACTAATTCTATTTTAGTTGAAGTTGTGTGACTGCTTCTTGTATTTTTATCAGTTTAACTGAATTTTAATAGTTACTAAAAATCCATGTCTCCTTCCTCAGTTTGAAGGGTTGCTCTGTTTTACTCACAGAAAATTGTTTCTGGTCACTGGGGTGATAATATCTCATGCAGAGTTTATGTGCATCTTTGAAAGAATGTATACTGAATTTAACGTAAAGTGTATTTATTCATAGCACTACAGCCATACCTATCTGTAGTTGTAATTTTGACACAATACCTGCAGATAAAAAACAGAACTGAATACATTTTCAATGAATGATGTTAAACAAGTTGGAGTTTATTCTTGTTTATTTTAAATGTTTTGTTAAAATATCTTTAAGGGATGCAGTGATGTTTGTTAATCTGTCTCAGAGCTGTGCTTGGAGATCTAATAAAGGTCTTTTTTGAAGGTGAAGCAAACTCAGTTTGGAACAGAGACTTATGCTACCATCCAGACCTGAGGCTCGAGTTATTTCTGTAACTGATAATGGATGGTGGCTCTCAGGAGACATTCGCTGTAAATACAATTTTTCTTTCCATTGTGCTGAGTGTCTGTGGCTTAAAACCCAGCCTTTGAACCTCATATGTACCAGAATAGAGTCTAACAGCTCGCTTTGAGTAAGAAATCTAATGATTAGGATAAAATATGGGGGAATATTTAAAAACAGACTCTTTAAAAGTCACAGCAGACATTTTCCAAATTATTTTTTTTAATACATAAATGATTTCTTGGCCTTATTGAGACAGTTTTCACCCCAAAATCTTAGGAAACAAAACAGATCCCATTTAAAAAAACCCATAAACCACAAACAAACAAAAAAAACCAAAACCCAAACAAACCAAAACCCACCCCCACACAAAAAAAGCTCAACCAACCAAAGAAACACCAACCTAAAAAGCTGTTAGCTTCATGGTAAAGAGCGTACAAGTTTGTAATTTTCTGTTTTATTTATTTTCTACAGGAAAGCTGCCAAATGAACTTCAGATGCTTGAAGAAGACCCTTCAGAGTATACAGCACCTCAGGATGGCAACCTTGTGTACAAGCTGTTCAGTTTGAATGATCTGTTGTTACTTGTACGTTGCAATGTGCAAAAGGTGAAGTCGTTGCCACGAAACCATAAGAAGAAGAAAGGCCAAAAGGTACAGATTTTGCTGTTAGCTTTGTTGGTTTTGTTCTGAACAGTTGTGCTCAACTGGCATCTCTGGTATTCCCAGCCCTTCACAGCATTTGTGTTTTCACTGACAATTAGTACATTTAATTGTAACTCTACAGTGCGTGTCTTCTTTCAGTAAATATTTGCTGTAGGAAGAGAGGGAAGAATAATTTGTGATTTCTTTTAAACCTACTTGATTAGAAGAGAAGCATGTTTTGATTCTGCATTTTGTACCACAGCTGCATTACAGTAGTATGCATGCGTAATTATACTCATGTAAACTAATGTCAGTTTGAACTATTCTTAAAAGTTAATGCAGTAATTAGGGTTCTGGCCTGAGGCTTTGAGAATGTTCATGATCATAAAGATTCTCAAGCAGGATGCAGCCTTGCTGTTATGCCTAGTTAAGCAGAGAAATAGGAAATAGAATAAACAACAGCGGGCACATTTAAAGATAAAAAGAGATCCTATTCATTGTGCCTGGAAAGACCATGGTATACATCTTAGCAAATCGTTTGTCTTGGGGAATAAAATGCTTTAAATGCAAGCATAATGCAGATATTACTTGTAACATCAGGAGAAGGAAAGCTCATTCTGGAATCCTCAGTAATTTATTATTTTGTCAAGAGTCCTCTGAATTATTCAACAGCTCTGGTGCGGTATTTCCATCCCCAGAATACCAGAATTGTGGTAGGCAGGCGTTTTGTGACGTGTTTATGTTTTGTTGGAACGGAAATAGATCTTCGTAACTTGGATTACTTCTAAGATTCTGTCTCAGAAACTTATTTTGAAGGAAAGCCATCTCCTTGCTATTGATCCACTGATACAAATGCCTGTGGGTAGCTGCTTAGTTTGTTAATCACAAATTGAGCCCTGTTGTTTCTTTGTAAAACTTCCTGCTGGAATTTGAACTGTGATTTGTCAGAGAGAAGAGGCTTACATTTCTCTCTTAGTGTTAACAGGCAAAGGTTAGCCTCTGAGCTCAAATGAGAGGCCAAGCATTAGGTTCTAATTTCAAGTGAGATTCTGACAAGAGGAATAAATGTCAGGATTTCAGGACTAATAAGCAAATGGGAAATATATTAATGTAGATTTTATGGAATTCCTGCAGAGGGCAGTGGAGCACACAAGTGTGAACTCCAAGTTAACATCTGGAAAAATGACTGAGCAGCACAATTACATTGTGTGTAGAAGCTTGCCCAGGCATTTCGTCTTCCTCTACAGAGAGGCTCTGTAGTCTGAAGTCTGTACTGTGGGGTTCATAGAGTGGGAGCCATCACATAAAATCTGTGAGATGTCTTTGGTGCTTCAGCTGTAGTGGAAGACTATGCTGATTATCAGCTGCAAAATGCAGTTCAATTGTGGATGTTTTTTGGACAGTGAGTGCTGATTTCCCTCGTATCTTCACTTTTATAGCATACACCAATATTCCTGTTGCCAAAACTAGAATATCAAGCCTATTACGGTGTTGAAGCTCTTACAGAAAGTGAAGTATGTCAGTTGTGGACAGAAAGTATGTTGCATTCTGAATGCTTGTTTTATATTGGTAAGTTCATGTGTTGATTTTTTTGCTTAAGAAATGTGTATGAGTGAATATTCACAGAATAATGGAAGAGACAAATTATTAAAGGTCGATTCTATATGTCCTTATTTATTTTAACTTTCTAATTTTGATTGTCACTTTTATCTTAGAAGTGCTTTGTCTAAAATTTCAGTTGGGTGGTGAATTAGGCTATTTCAACTTTGGGTTTAGATGAGTAGCATTCAGTAATCTTTGTTTTCAAGAACTCTATTTATTTGCCTTTCAAAGACTCTCACGTGTGGATTTAAATCTCTGAAGTTAGTAATCTTCATGACTTAAAGTATCTTTGGGCTTGGGGAGGAGGGTTTTTTGGCTCTGGGTTTTTTTTCATACACAACATGAATTATCACAGGTCTGGTAAAATTATTTCTTGATGACATGTGAGCTATGATTATATCTTAGCATTTTGTGAAACCATTTTAAACATATTTGTTACTACATACCGAAATAGAAGACAGAGGATCAGGTATGTGGCTCAGAGGATGTTGATTCCTTGGCCTTTGAGGCTGCAGTATGGGAAAAGGTCAAATGTTATTTGTTTTTCTTTGAAAACAGGCGATAGGGTTCATATTTTTACATTGATAACATGCAGAGAGATAAGACACAAAAGAATGAGGAAAACCAAGCAAGATAGGCCTGAACCAAGTTCCGTCGCTCAGAAATAAGAGAAATTGCATGCTTTAAAAACAGCGTACATGTGTCTTACATCAAAGGTACTGGAGATAATTCTCTGGCTTTGCAGAAATTAAATTCCAAACAGGAAGAAGAAAAACACCTAGCATACATTTATTGAAAACTTCTTTCCAGAGCTATGGTATTCCTCAGGAGTTCTGAACACTGAATGTTCTCACTTAAACACATTTTCCAGGTTTTCCGTTGTCCTTTTCTAACTGATTCATGAAATTAAATTTCCTAATACATGATGTGACTTGAAACGTCCCTGTCAAAGGGATGGTCTTGATAGTCCTTGTCCTGTATCATGCGTCAGATGGAAACAGGAGGCAATGTAATAGAATTTAGGTGTGAGAAGTAAGATACATTCAGTGAGAATGAAGCAGGAAACTACAAATCTCATGAAGAAGAGATGACAGTTGTAATTCTGAGCACAGAAAATAAAAACATAGTAAAGTTGGGGATGAAAAGCATGGAAGTGTTATCAGAAAGATAACTTACTTGTGAAGGCCAATTATCCAAAATCGTGTAAACCATGGTGCACGCTAGGAATGCAGCATTACAAGGGAAGCTTCACTAACAAAATGTCCCGAGGAAAGTTCTGTGTATGTGTTTGTACAATGACATTTTAAATGTCAGGAAAGTTTTTTGTGTGTTAGGATACATATGTTCTGTAGAGAAATTAAAATGAGGCATTTAAAGAATGTTGCCAGATGATTTTAACAACCCTTTTAATATATGGAGAGCTCTCTGATACCAGTTATCTTGTAATTAATTAGGTTATAAATGAGAAAATCTGCAACAAAGTGGTTCGTCAAAAGGCATTTTAGAGTATATTTGGCCCTTGCTAAGGACCGAGGGCAGCCCTGCTTGTACAGGGAGCGGCTGTGTTCTGAGTGGGGACTGTTTTTTATGGTTGTTATGGCAGCAGTTGTGGCTGTGGTTGCCTAACCTTTCCACTTGGGCACTCAATTACACTTTTGATGTTCGAGGCTCACATCAGAATACTATTTTAGAAATGCTAAGTCCTCTCTTTCCTAATTTTTACATACAAACTTTGCCTCCTATCATAGAATTTTAAGGTTTATGTGAAATCTAATGTATTTGAGGTGATAGTTTTGCCAGTTGCATTAATCTTCGTCTGCTGTTCGTTTTTGATGGAAATTGTCTCTAATTTTAAATTTTAAAAGCAGTATTTGCTGGGGGTTTTTCCCTTCTCTCAAAAAAAATCCTTAAATCGATAATAATGCACACAGTTCTCTATTTTTGTTAACATTCCCAGAGTCACAAGCAGTGTGAGGAGACAGTGAAACTGGAGAGAGCCTAATCTGCTTACAAAGTACACAAGCTGAAGGAATGCAGAGTCTTATCTAATCTCCCAACAGTTACAGGATACTTAACATATGGCTTGTGCGCAGGAGTTTGCAGACAGCTCATCCAGCAAACACCCCTTTTTATAGAGGCTCTGGGGAGTGGAGGAGGCAGGCTGTATGCTGCAGGAGTTGTTCTGGCATAAATGGCCATCCCCTTCTGATAAGAGAGCTTCCTCAGTGTCCCTGTGTAGGTACCTGCGGGCTGTGAACGGGACATGGAGCCTTTGGCTGGCAGGCTTCACTGGCCTGGCCTCCGACAGGCACTCTCTGTGCTCGGGATTGAGAAACACTGGTCATTCCAGTGATGTTTTTCAGCTCTTGGATGTGCTGCTTCCAGAAGCAAACCCTGGGATCCACAGGGGTTCTCCTTCTGCGTGCTCTGAGGAAGCACGGGATGGCTGTGGGCTGGCAATGTTCTGCACAGTAAATCAGTACTGTGCAGTACGCGTGGGGCAGGCCCCCTCCCACCACTGCTAAAAAAGTCTGCTACAAATAGAGTTGGACTCTTAGCATGTCACCAACTTCTGATACTGACAGAATATGGGATTGATTCAGGTAGGCAGACTGGGGACTGCAGATTTTTGGCACTGCCATGTAGTTTCTAATAGAGGTAGGTAAAAAGATGTGGAATTAATTGACCCATTTTATGAAAGATCATCCACCATGGCTTTTAATAGGAAACTGTTGTTATACTCTAGTTAGGGATTCTTCCTGCTCTGGTTGAGAAATAATGCAAAGTAGCTGTGAAATTCTGCCTTTCAGTTTGTAATTCTGGGAGCTATGAAAAATACAGTGTTGCAAGTGTCCTGATTTAGTTAGATGGCTCTTTGTTTGTCCTGGAACTCCAGGGACCATTCTTTAAAGACGAGAATATCCCTGTATTGTGTATAACTTCTTTTTCACTAATCTGATACCTGAAAGTAAGACGACTGCTATCATCTGTTTGGTGTAAGTAGACACATGTAAGAAGACTTCACTTCTCAGATTGTGTTATAATTTGAATTATTTTAAGTGAAATATTGCATCCTATAATAAAGGATTTTTAAATCGACTACAGTAGAGCCATAGACTTGCTCCTCCTTTTAAATTTAGCCCACAGTATGAGTGTGGAAGTACAGGTCAGCTGTTTGAAAACACTGCTAACACAGTACTTAGAAGTTGCATTCTTGTTCGGAAAGTTCTAAGACTATATAGAGCTTAAGTGAAGCCTCTAAAATGGAAGTTCTGAGCATGTGGCAGACCCAAGTGTTCAATTGCTTAGTTGTTCTTGGATCTTGAAAAAATCCACTGTCTCAACAATCTTTTATATCACCAAATAAGTATGGATGGGAAGTTCTTTGCACCTTGGTCTGCGCCCCTTAGTTGTCCAACATTGTTCTTTTGTGTGGTATCACTGTGGCTGAGGGAGGAATCTCATAGCTCAGTGCAGTGGCTCAGCAGTGCTGCTAGCTCAGGAGATGAGAAAGAAAACAGAAGTGTAGTGATGGCTCCTGCAGGAAGTGCAAGGTGTGATCATAAACTGGATTTTTTATTTAGTACGTTCTCAAAGAAGGTGGTGGTTGTTTGCACAAAAGCAGAGATGTTATCATCAAACAAACTTGAGTGATATCCTCCTCACACCTTGCTCAGTTGCTGATATAAGTCCCCTTGCTACTCAGATAGGAAATCCTGCCTCTGCAAAAGGAGTAATCTCTGTGACATATTTCCCAAATATGATACTGGTACTTGATCTAAGCGGTAAATAAAGTTGTGATAAACTTTGCTGATTAATAGGAACATTTTACCCTGGCCATTATTCACTTATTTGCACTAAGTGCCTAAGCAAAACTTCCTGCAGAAAGGCTAGTTTACCTTCACTTGAATAGGATAATACTTGCCTTTAAATAAAGATTATTTGAAAAATGGGTTGTAAAGAAGTACTTACTGTTATGGGTAACTTACTGAATGTCTAGTGTTTTAATCAGTCACTTGTCCACTGTAAAATACAGTAACATAAATTAGGCGAAGTAGTTAGTTTCCCAACTGTGCTATCAGTGAGTTTAGAAATTGAGAGGTTTCTGGTTTAGGAGGGGCTGATAAGGAATAGAGAGCGCAGGTTATTTTTATTGTAATAATGACTTCAAGTTTCTTTTCCTCTAGTCAGCAGTGAAGAATATTAAATCTAGCTGCTTAGTCTTGCACCAAATACTGATACCAAGAAAAGTTACACATGTACAGTGTTTAAAGAAATTAATTGTCCTATTGGATTTTAATTTTATTAAAATTTAGAGTTCTTGCTTGGTCTTCTTGCGCATCACGTAACAAGTTGATAGTAATGTGTAGCTTGGAATGTGAAATGCATTACTTCAGCAGTTTGAACTGTCCAATTGAAGCATCTACACTTCCTACAAGAGCAGATTTGTAATAAAGTAGTAAATTTCACTGGGTAGGTTGCATTTTATTGTGCTGCTTTTTCCTCATCCTTCCTATGGGAGTTTGAAAAGAACGTATCTGGGAAAACCTCATCATGAGAAAAGTAAGGCACAGGTACCATATCAGTGTGTAAGTTATGCTAATGATCTTTATTGCTTATCAAGTGAAAACATGGGCTGAACTGTTCTTGCGAGCCTTTATTTTAAAAACATGATGAGGAAAGCCTTGAATTGCTGCTCCTGGCTGTGTCACAGACAAGTGGTATGTAACAATTAGCCAGGAACAAGGCCTCAGTTGTAAATTGTAATATTTCAGGTGAAGGGGAAAAAAAATCAAGAGATGAAGGTACAGAGTCCCCAGAAAATCAGACAACACAATTGTTCGTGTAATGTATCAGAATAGAAAAGGAAGTATATTAAATTCAGAAGTAAATCTGTTGTAAAAGGTGAGCTTTCATGATCTGTCCGGTGGGGAAGCATAGTGATAAGGATCGAAAGAACTTGAGAAGATACAAATGAGCTGATGTCAATGGCAAAATTAGCCTGTATATCCCGGGCATCCCCCAGGTTGTAAGATTTGCTGGAATCATGGGCATCTCCCTTATTGAGAAAGCCCAAATACAGGCATCTGTACTGCAAGTGGCTGGACATTTTACTTTCTGATACTGTGCAACATTGATAAACACTTTCCACTGTTCTATGCTGTAAAAGAGCAAAATTTTTTTTATTGCTTTTAAAATGCATTAGGTCTGCAAATTACGGCTTTGTATTTTTGCTCTTCTATTTTTAGTTTCTTAATGCAATTCATATTTTTCAGGACGTATTGATGCTTTTACATCAAAGCTTATTATGCTGGAAAAGATTTCTCCAGAAACTTTAAGAGAAAAAGTTGAGTTGATAAAGTGAGTATTTTTAGTAGGTGTTTCCCAATGAATCTGAAACTCTCATAAGCCTCATGAGTTACTACTTTTGTAATTGTTTTCTTTTTTGCAGGCCTGCAAATTCATTGAATATACTTCATCATATTTTGAAGAAAGTGTCTGAGTAAGTGATCCATTCTTCTTCACTGTGTTTGTTTGCAACATTACCTAGCACATCCTGGTTCTTATGTAGAATGCTTGTCTACTCTTTGGTTTTTATTTCTTCAGGTACATGAAATGTTTTACAGATTCTTTTAGGTCTAGCATGGCATAATGCAGTGCTGGGTAAAAAAAAATGTGCTTGGGATTACATGTTTTATATAAATTATGCAAAAGACTAAGAACTTGATTTTTCTGAACGACTTGGGAGACTGGACACTGATTAAACAGTTCATAGGAGTGAGCTGTAATACCTGTCTGTAGACTGGCATTTAAAATTTGAACTTCTAGGTTTTGTTGGTATTTTTGCATAATCTGCAAAAACAATACTGTTTGTGTTCCCCTCTGCTCAGCTTGACTTACAACAGTGTATGTCTTCGTAGACTGTTGCAACCTTTCTCTTGCTTCTTTCTTTCTTTAGCTGCTTCAAGGCTTTCTGTCTGCAGGCATCTTGCGCTGTGTGTGAAGCCTCTTAATTCGAACTACAGAAGTGTTTTCCCACACTTCAGCATTTGGGTAGCTTTGTGATTTGGGGCTAAGATTTTTGATATGGGCAGTTAGCTGACACTTACCTTCCAGAAGGCCAGTTTAATCCTGCATGCATTTAAAGCACACATGTGCTTTGTGTCTGTATCCACGTATGCATTATGCTTTCTAAGGTGCTGGCTAAAAATCAGCTTGCCAACTACAAGTAGTTTATAGTGTATGCTTAACTGTTTTGTTGAATATGATGACGATCTGTACATTGGTGATAAGTTAGTGCATTATGAACATATTTTAAACACATGAGTCAGTGTGTATTTATTGATAACAGTTTAATTCATGCTTTTTTGTCCATAGTCATTTTAGAAAACAGGGACTGGTAAGTAAATATCTGAAGATGTTTCTTTTTTCATGGAGAACTTAGTAGCTACCCTGGTCAAATTAAACAAAACAAAAACATTTAAATAGTATTTTTCATTTTGAACTTTATCTTTTTAGTTTGCAGGAGGGCTCTTACTTATTGACTCATGCTGCAGGAGATTCATCAGTTGCAATTTACAAGAGCTCAGTTGACAAGACAACGAGAGCATCATATAACTTACATAAAGCTCACTGTGATCTGCCTGCCATACCTGCCACTCTTTCAGTCCCATGGGTGCCACTAGATCCCAGCCTCCCTTTACCCTATCACATCAGTCATGGAAGAGTTCCATGCACGTTTCCACCTGCGCCCCAGGAAGCCACGTGGAAACAGAAGGTCAGTGGCTCACTTGTTGGAAAAGCAGATCAGCAGGTTTTGTTGCTGTTGTTTTTTAAAAAAATAGAATTTGTGATGGGAAGAAGAGTGAATTGTCTGCATCTGAAGAAACTTCTGATAGAAATTTTGTGGAAATTTTTTAGGAATGCAGCCTGCTTTGTAATTTGTGCTGCTGAAGAAGTGAGGTATATCATGCTCTGGAAATTTCCCAGAGATCCCACTCTCAGCTCTAGCATTTTGAACAGGTAGTACAACACTTCAGAAGAAGTTTTTCAAGCATTGTTTTTCTTCAGCATGGAGTTACTCATTTGTGTAAAAGCCACATGCTAACTATGTCTAGCTTAGTAGACCAAGAAATGCTTTTTAGGCCCAGTTTACATGTTTTAGCCACATCCTGACTTTATAAGAGGTAAAATAGAGTTCCTCGTTACCTCATGAACTTCATTTTCTGCCAGTGGAAATCCAGGCACATAGCAAGAAAGGTGGCAGGAAGAGCAGGTGTGGCCTCTGAGCCTGGCTGGAATGACAAGGAAAAGGCAGTTCTCTGAAGGTAGTTGTATATGCTTGTGCTTAGTACAGATGTAAGATGATTAATTCTAGTTTGTTTGGGGGGATTTGTTTTACTTCTTTTTCTTTCTTCATTTGTGTCTAGACGACTGGGGCAAAAGCACAGTCTGACACACCCTATGAGGGAAAGCCAGTAGCTATGGAAACAAAAGGCAATCCTGCTAAGCCTGCTAGAAATGAAGGTGTGGCTACAAAGAAGCTGAGGAGAAATTACTGCAAACAAAGAACGATGAAGAAAAAATGGAAAATGAAGAACAACAAAATGCAACTGACATAGGAATAGCTGAAGCCTGCGGTGATAAATATGGCGTGGTGGAATAGCACAGAACAAAACAAAACATCTGAGGCTTTCTTGCAGCTTCAAAGGAGCCAGAACAAACTGGCAGGGGAGGTGGCTCCATAGCTGAAACATTCTGTAAACCTTTAACACTTTCTTACCTCAACAGGCACATTTCAAGTGAAATTCTCCACTTCAGACAAAGAGGAAGTGTCTGCAGCTTTGGTTAGGGGACAAAAGTATCCTCTGTTGGTCTCATTTTTGTAGGAAACTGATGGCTTGAAGAATGAAGCAGTGGTTGACAGCAATATCTGATATCACATAACAACAAAAAAAATAACTTTTCAGCTTTCTTAATTCTTCCAGAATCACTATAGATATTTTTTATTCTGACACATTTTAAAATTGTTTTACTTTGTGTTATATGTATAAAGGGAACAACTTGGATTTAATTACTTAATCCTTTTAACACACAGTGTCTACGTGTTTTAAATTACTTTTAAAAATATTTTCTTTTTAGGATGGTGTAACACATGAGGTTTGGGGAACAAATTCTGTGTTTATTTGAATAGTACATGCCATAAATCTGCACTAGGAAACTTGGGATTACAGCTAGACCATTAAAAATAGGTATTTTTATGCTTCCCCAAAAGCAAGTTCAAAAAATTGTTTGGATTCTGGTGTGTCTTCAAAAATTAATATTGCAGTTATTTATTCACTGAATGGCCATAGCCTAAATCTCATATTAGATTGCACGTGGTGTCCCTGCCCATGGAAGGGGGGTTGGAACTAGATGATCTTAAGGTCCTTTCCAACCCTAGCTATTCTGTGATTCCATGCAGTAGTACTTACCTGAGGTATTAAGGTTTGCCTGGAGGAACAAGTGATAGGATCAAGGCCTTGGTCATTGTTGCAAAAACCCAACCAGACTATGCTGAGCATCAGCAATTTGCTCAAAATTTAGAGCCAAACTGACAGAGTCAAGTAAGGAAAAGGGAATACTTACTGTCTGTGAAAAGGCCAAGCAATGTGATGACATGTAGTTTCCTGCTGAAAATGAGTTGTGTGGAAAAATTAAAGCCGTTTTGAATGTTGATACATAAACACATTGTATTGTGTGATGTATAACTAACAGGATTGCTTGTGAGGGAAGGTTTCTCTGCATTACAGCTATTTTCTGGTACATATTTCAGTGTTTCATCAAACAGAATTTCAACAGAAACAGTCCTTGCAACTGAGGCTCGAAATGATATTCACTATCATCACTTGTGGTTTGTATTTTCTGGATTTCTGCCTATATTGTCCTCTATTAAAAGTATTGTTTTTAGAAAAGTTCACAAATTCCTGAAAGCCATAAGAATGAGTTCAATAAATTCTTTCCCATCTTTTTTTATCTTTTAAACAACAAAACCAACTATTTTAAAATGTCTGAGCCAGTTTTTGTTTGGATGGTGTTCTGGAGAGCTGTTGGTATGCATTAACTGCTTAAATAAAAAACAAAGGCCTTAAAGATGATCTTCCAAGTCTTTTGTTTGGGCTAAGGAAAGTTTCCAAGTACACACATCTGATCAAGTATTCTTCTTCTCACTGGGGCTTGACATGACACATTTTAATGGCATCAAAGTAAAAGATACTCAGATTGTTTACTGAGGTGTAGCTGTTGTATAAACCTGAAGACAGCTGGGGTTTGGTTAGGGGTTTTAAAAGGAGATTTAAATAATGAATGTACATTAAAACCTGTTCTTTGTGAACACTGCATTTTCTGATCCCCCCTCGCCACACTCACTGTTAAATATATTTAACTCTATTCAGTTTACTCTTTTTTTGGCCACTGTTTCTTTTAGCTGCAGTGATATGCTACTGACGTGATGAACTGGCATAGAGCTCTTTGCAAATTACAAGTAGTTCTGATTCGAAATCCTCAAAGCACTTAGTGACCTCTCTTGGTAGAAATATTTTAGCTGTGAGTCATTTTTGCCAGGTACCCAGGTCTGTGTGGGGATTCAAGGGATTTTCAGTTTGTATATATAAAAACTTTTGCCAGACTCGTATGGAATTTAGTTTCTTGTTGCAGTTTTATATGTTAGAAATGTATGGTTTAGTTGCCTGTGTATCTGTATGCCTAAAAGACTTCCATCTTTCTCTTAATAGTATGCTATTATACTACACTAGTGTACTGCTAATGATAGTTTACTAATCGTAGGTTTTTATCTGTTTAGAATATGTAGGGAATCTGGAGTTTGTATACGACACATGAGATGGCTTTTTAATTCACTGTTATGTTTTAATTTATTGTTCTCTTTTGGGCTAAGTTGGACTGAAGTGATTTGCTCTGAGATGATGATTTATTTGTTTGAAAGCCTCCGGTTTTGTTCACATACCGTGGGTGCTGTACCAAGGTGTACTCTATTGATACTTGCATCTAAAAAATCTTTTTTTTTTCTTTTTTCATCTAAAATCTATTTAAAGCAGTGACAAGAGGACAAGACAAAAGGGATAACGTGTTTATTTCGGGCAGTAACATCTGAAATTTGAAACAAATTGTTGAATCAAAATAATTGGTAAAAAATACTTCAGTAAAGCCAGAGTGTGCTGGCTAGGAGGTGCTGGATTGCTGGTTCTGTATAGACTGCTCCTCAAGTTACAGCTACCTGTGAAGGAAAAAGAAGGGATAATACAGAGGAGCCTAACTGTTGTGATGCCACCAAAATACAAATTCCTAAATGTAATGCCGATTGTAAAGCTGTGGGAAGCAGGAAGCTGCAGCTGAAGGAGAGTGACTGGGCCTGGATCTTACTCTCCAGGTAATTGTTGTTCTATAGCTAACTAGGGCTGGTCTTTTTTATGGCCTCATCCTACTGAGTTTAGGAAGAAAAATCCACAGATCTCACAACCCTGTCCTGTGATTTCAGTCTTCAGCTCTGTGTTTGGAATAGATTGTGTGTGTTCATGTTGCAATTTATATGGCTTGATTTTAAATGTAATTACTACTTTTTGTCACTCTTGTAAGAATATCTTTTAAATCTTCATTTGGAGTACATGGTTAGGTGTAACTCATCCAGTCGCAGAAGCTTCTGGTTATATTTTTCCCTCCTTAGTATTTTGGCTTTCTGTAGGTTTACCTCGTTGCATAGGGGGAAGTATGTGCTGTCGTGTCTTTTAGAACAGGAAGCTCTAAGTGCCAGAGAACTGGTCAAACTGATTCCACAGGGATCTCTGTATTTAGTTCTCTCAGCTTTTCAGTGTGGCTGTTTGCAGTCCAGAGCTAATGGAGCAGCCTGTGCTGCTGCTGCTTGGAGTTATCTCCTTCTAGGTGCAGGACTTTCTTTGCTAAGTCTCATGCCATTCTTGTTGGCCCACTCCTGCAGCCTGTCTTAAGTCTCTGCACTGTGGCTCATTTGTCCACTCTTAACTACGTCTTCTCCCAATTTGATGTCATCTGCAAACTTGGTGAAAGTTGATTCCATTGTGTTATCCAGCTGACTTACAAGAATACTGAGTAGTTCTGGACCCTGTATCAACCCCTGAGAAGCTCTATTCATGACAAACTCAACTGCTGGTTCAGCTTTGAGCCACTAACTACTTCACTGAAAATGGAAGAAACTCTCTGAGAATATATCGGCTTTCCATGCTGTGTAACATCCACGATACTGCACCTGGTTCTCCCCATCCACTGGTATTTGTTGTGAGATTAAATTGATAGCTTTGTATCATGTTCAGGCTGTTTGAACTTAGTTTTGAAGGACAAGAGGAGGACTTCTTAACCTGGCATTTGAGGCTACTGGTTGATATACATGCAAAACCATAAAACTTTATCAGTTCTTTGTGTCAGCGTGAGTAACCACAATGAGTTATTGGTTGTGAACTCCACCTTTTCTTTATTTCTGCCATTCTAAGTGTTTTCAAACTATTTGCACTGAGTCACGAACTGTATATTCCCATATGTGCCTGGCTAAACCTCTTCACCTTCTCTGCAAAACCTTTTAGGGGTACAACAGACACTGTCTACATAAAATGTTAGGAATAGATTTACGATGGTTTTGTGCTCTGTCTCCTTGTGTAGTCTAGTGGCTGAAGGAGCTGGGACCAAGTGATCAGACACCCATTCTGTGCTGGCAGGGGGAGCTGCCAACAGCAAGAGACTGTCTAACCCCATGCAGTGAAGTCCAGTAGCAGACATGGAAGCATTTGAAGAGGTACTTCTGCATCTGCTTTGCTTGACCTGTATTTTAAATAGCAGCTTGTCTCTAAAAGAATGTAAGAATCAGTTCAAAAGTGGTCTTTAAAAACATTTAGTGCTGACCTCCATTTAAGCTGCATTTACTTCTGCTAGTAGAAGGAATTGGATCATTTTCAGTATCTCCCCCTGACTAAGCATGACTGGTTGTATAATCTCCTCAGATCTTCTCCAAGAAGTTCCATAACTAAGCTCCTTCTTTCATAACCAAATGCAGCCTTTCTGTTCTGTTGGTCTTGCTTCCCCTACGGTCTGCTCCTTCCACAGCCGCTGCTGTAGTGCATTCATGCTGTGGTTTTAAAGGAATGATGCAGCATAAGCTGGTCTTGCGGAGATTCCCCAGCTCTTCTCATGTCACTTCTTCCTTCTGGTGTACTTTTAGAGAAGTATACCAGAAAGAGAAGTATACCAGAAGAGAGAAGACCATAAGGATTTTCTGTAAATAAATCTGTAAGACATCCATGTTAATACTCGGTATAGCCAAATTCCCTCTAAGATCAATGTTTCTGGTGTATTTTTCAGAAACTATTTGAAAGCATCTATGACTAAAGTGATAATGTTTGTGCAGAACTTCATTTCATCACTGAAAATTAGATTTGGAGTCATGATGCAACCTTGAAAATAATTCTAGTCTGTTCATGACTCTCAATGCAGACTTCAAAATGTGTTTATCCCATAGTTGAGTGAACAGCATGAGTGCCATCCTGTGCCAAACATTCAAAAGCTCCGCCTACCAAATCTTTGTGCAAGCGATTCAAAACAA